GCCACTGACTTATTCCACCATCTGCTTGACCAACTATCCTTCCTCTAACAAAATCTGACAATTCAAGAGAACCTTGAGTTCTAGGCATGTTGTAGCACAAGCTAATTAGTGTGCGGACCATTTTCATTTATATAGTGCTCTGTGAACACAAATTAGTTAGCATAAATCAGTTAAATGACGAAAAATTAGGTGTCTATTTACTTTTGACCACTCAGTGTATATCTGACCTAAAACAATAAATTTGATTTTTCGTTTTTAAAAATTAGTATCTAAATTTTTCAATTTCGCTGTAGCATGTTTCAGTTGTTCTCGGTTTTGCTACCTTATAGTCCATTAGCTGCATTGCGTATTCAAATACTTCGCAATAGGACAAAGTAAATGTTCTCTCTTAATTTAAGAGCACCTTTTTCATTGTGTCAAAGTTTGGCAGATTAAATCAGGTATAAAGGCTTTTCAAAACTAACATTGTAATTTTCGAAAAATATAATTTGATAATAAACTATATGTTCTTTCAGAAAAAATATCTTCGCTTTGGTATTTACAGAATATACGTGTGTGTGGTTCGGTTACAACAAATAAAACGTTGTACACTTGGAGAAATAACAGTAAAGTTGTAATTAAAATATACAATATATAAAATCGTTTGGTATTCATTTCTATATTTATATGTATACTAGCTTTGCAGGTGCCTAAAAGTTGTTAGTTTTTCACTCACTTGCGTTTATGTTGTGCATGCTTAAGTTTGCTAACAAATGATTTTTTTAACTACAAATTACGCTTAAAATGTGTCATGTTTAGCATTTTGTGATGCGTGAAGATATTGTCTATAGACACGTCGGCATTCAATGTTCATATGTTATTTTCTCTCTTAAAATTTCAAGTTAAATTTCTGCTCTTGTATTTTTATTTTCTACAACAGAGAAATATTTCCTTCAAATAATTCACTATTACAATTATTAATTTCCTTAAAAGCATAGAATTAAGTATTCAGTGTTTATTAAGTTATCACAAGAAAATCCAAATGTCTCCTAGGTTTTAACAGGTATATGGCGTTCATTAAAGTACTCGGACTATTAAACTTGGTTCATAATGATCAGCGATATATAACGTAACCTTAACTTGAAAAAAATCACCATTATATATTTGTTGCACAAAGTAATGGCTTATTTTATATGCTCATTACTCAAAGCGATTTAAGTTTTAATGAGAAGCGAATAATCATTTACTCATGAAATTTAGTTCTTTTTTTTATTAACAACTAGTTTACGATATTGCATATTTACACAGTGATTATGAAGAAACTCCATTTTTATTCAAAATGATTATATCGTAAAAAACAGCTTATCATAGTGACCGTAAGTTTCACCAGAGGCACATTAAGAATAATGATATTTAGTCACAAAGTTTGAGCATAGTACAGGATGAT